TCTATCTATCTATCTATATATGTATGTATATATATATATGTATGTATATATATATATGTATGTATGTATGTATGTATGTATGTATATATATATATATACATATATACATATTCGTGAACGTATGTATATGAACATCTATACACATCTAGAGTGTCTCAATGCACAAAGATTGCAGGAGATTTGCATGAGAGCACTGCGCACTGAGGATTGAGGTGCTGGCGCCAGCTGCTAGCTGATTGACCGACACTGATACGGGGTCCTGAGACCAGGTCACAAGAGGAGAGGACTTTGCTGTGCCACGCTGTGCCTGCATATGGGGGAGGAGTGCTGGCGCGGGCCCAATCGGCAGCGACCTTCAGTCAGGCTGCGCTTCGACAAAGCCAGAGCAGAAATGGATCTGAGTCTGAGACCCCAGGGTCCGCTGCTGATGTAACCTTGCGAGCAGCGTGGCGACCTCTGCAGTGCTGGGTCCATATGCACACACCATCGGGTCCGCGTAGAGTTCGCCCCGTCTAGTCTGTGTCGAAGTGCTGCTGAACCATCACGCTGCGACACTCACAGTCCGCCAGCCCCATGAAACTCTCTTGTGTACTCCCACTCGGCCTAGTGAAGTGAATTCAGAGCAGCGAGTTCAAAAAAGGTCGCAAGGATTCCCGGAATCATGAGCTTGATTTACGACCACGATGTCGAGCCGTAAAAGTCTTCAATAGTAGCCGTAGTATCAACAGAAGCAGTAGTGCCGTCGTCGTCGTCGTAGTCGTAGGGGCGTAGTCGTCGTCGTCGGCGGTGGCTTTTTGGTGCTGCTGGCGGTGGCCGTGCTGGTGGTGCCGGCGGTACAGTGGTAGCGGCAGTGCGTCGTAGGGGTCGTGGTCGATGGCAGCTGGTAGCAGCAGCAACGGCAATAAGGCGTGACAACATGCTCGATATAGCTAGCGACGACTGCTGTGATCAGAAGAAACGATCGTGATTTACTAATCCCGCCACCAGGCCGATAAACGGAATGCAGACTCCGTTTCGGACTATTCATGGGCATGTGCACAAGTACGACCGCCACCAGTTGCAGATGAGGCGACACAGAATTGAAGTTCAGGTTATGCTGTGCAGCATTCGGGAAGGGACAGCGGTGCATGTCGTGCATAGATGCAATGCTGTTGATAAGCTGCAAGGCAAGTCTTGCCCGACAAAGGGCACCATGAATGCGGCTTCCATGCCCCGACGCTCGTTGCAAGATATGCAGTATGTATGCACGCACACCAGGTGACTCCCGAGAGGGCAATAGCTCGGCCGGAGCACTGCGAAAGTGGCACGGCAACGATAACCTTTTTCACAGAAGACCAGCGACCGGTCTTGGACGCTCTCATGTGATTCCAGCTACCTGGCACGAGTGTTTCTCAAAATCAGGAACCCCAATACAAACTCCGAGTGGTAGGGGCTTCTTTGCTTTTGTGAGCACCCTAATTATTACGAGCCCAAATGTTGAGAACATCTTTCCGGTAGCAGCGGCAGTCTAGGGCCTAGGCTTATCCCCAAGATCTGAAGGCTCCTGATGCTCCCCGAGATGCCAACTCTTAGCCAGGAGGGCACGGCCGGCGACTGGATCCGGACTTTCTCCCGGTGCTGTCGAAGCTTCTCAACCTAAGTGTACAAAAGTGTTTGACCCTCCATCCCGGCCCTACGGGATCCCTAAAGACCAGCCCCCAGAAGGCTGTAGGGGTCTGGAAGGGCTTGGATCTTGATAAAGCTCAGGGGAAACCGCCTGAGTGCATGTAGCAAGGCTAATTATTAGCCATTGCTAGGAGCCTTCTAACAGGACTAAATATGGGGATTATAGAGTTTGGAGTTTGGGGCTAGACCCCCGGGCTCGAAAGAGAGTGCGCAACTGCCGAAGGAGCGTTCCCTCCTGCATAAAGTTCCGAGCTCGATGCTGCTAGTGGAAGCTCCTTGATTACCCTTCACCCCGAGCTCCATAATTCCCAAGCCCTCTAGACCTGAGAAGCCCTAAACCCTGAAACCCTGAACTCTCTTCAGCTCTCTCTTTTTTGCCGGGGCTGTGCTTGATTCCTCTTCGTAAGAAATCGATGGACTCACTGTGCAGCCCAGAAGTCGAAAACGGACTGGACGTGTGCCAGACAGGAGTTTCTCAACATGTGTGGGGTTTTGCCTTGAGGGTATAGTGGCTTACCGGCTTTGGGTACATGTAGGGACCCAAGGGAAGAGGAATTCTAAGGTGGGACCCCATGTCGTAGCTAGGGGTAGCGTTCAGAAACGCCCAGATGCATGAGAAGCCGGATGCTTTGTTGCGCCGGTCTCAGGGCTTCTTGCAGTACTGCGTGTATCGCTATGTACAAGACGTCACATACATGTTACAAAATTACATGCACTTATGTGAGTTATGTGTTATGCATGCATGCTTGGCTTAAGTATATTGAATGGGGTACGCAATTATAGCCGTAGCCAGCATTACCACAGGTGTATGTATGCGAACACGCACATCAGTCAAGAGAGCGGCAGGACACCAAAACATAGAGATACAAAGTCCTGCGTCCCCTGGCTGACGAAAGCTTTCCAGGCGGGGTAGCCTGTAATTGTTGGGGTTGTCATAGGGGGGGATCTGAAGATCTCAGTGAGTATTCTGGAGGGCCCGAAGTGGTACAGATGCCCTCCTAGCTGGTCAGTGTAGCGTCCGCGGGCACGGTGAAGCGCACAGAAACAGGCATGTGTTCCTCTTGCATGCTGAACTCATCCGTCAACTGATAACCCCAAACTTGAAACTTCACCACTTGTGCCCCGTAAATGTTGGTGACCGCATGGTCGAACTTGCAGCATGTGCTTGGGTAGCAGCAAGTTTCCGAGTCTGGCACTACAAATGATGGCGGGTTGCCTCCAACAAGCCGGTGCCAACTGTCAAAAGATCCACCTGTTACACCGGCAGCATCCACATTCCAGTCTCCTACTGCAATCGAGCAAGAGACCCTTGCGTCACCACACACACTTTCGACAATGGACTGCCCACTCTGGATGGGCTTATGACCAGGGTGCACCGCCATCACGCAAAGCGTTTCACAGTTGGACACTGGGTTTGGTGGCTTGACCAGCAACACAGCCAAGCCCCGTTGACCATCGCAGCATATGTTGCCACCACCCTCTTTCAAAACCTGCCATCCAGGTGCAACCATGACTGAAACATAATCTTCATACTCATGTGAGGAAGACCACCCGGACAAAGATGATGATGCCCCTTTCAACTCCAAAGCTCCGACAATATCTGCCCCTGACTCCTCCACTAGCTCTTTGAATCTTGCAAGGGCCGCAGCGGTGCAAGCAGAATCTGCCTCAGCACACTGCCAATGCGGTTCCCAATGGAAGGTGGTGATGTTCACCTTCTCTCCCCAAATGCGGGCCCCCCCTTCTCTTCCCGAAAGATATGATGCCCGCTCTGCTCAACACCCGTCCAAACCGATACACCCTCAAACACCATTCTCTCCATTATGTATCCCTGTACCCCGGAACAGAAACCCTACAAAACCCTGTAGATCCATTGAAAGAAACCTCAAGGCTTCCTGAAACCCACGCCTGTAGAGCTGGTGGCTCTTTGGTTGGCGGGGCGGTTGCCATATCGTGCTCGGGCATGGCCGACGTGCTTCGATCAGGACCCGGTGTCGCAGTGGTTGAACTTGCCTTCAGTGACGTCGACTCGTTTGCCTGGGTTGTTGTTCAGGAATTTAGCTTAAGTTGCGATGATGAACGGGGAACAAGATTAATTAAGACTTTCCCACGGTAGCCCGCAAAAATCTCGAACAGCAACCCAGTTGCAGCAGCTGCTGTCGCATTCCTGTAAGCGGGCTCTAGTCTCAACTGGACCATGCCATGAGCATCGCCACCTTCGCTCATGCATTCCGTCTGACTCCGAGCGCAGTGCAGCATAGATAGCGCCCACAGTTTGATCCATGTGCGAGTCATGGCAAGGTACAGTAGGACCAGACTTTCAATGAGCTGCGAGAGAGACCTTCGAACCAAACTCGGAAACAGAAGATGCTTATCGCCCCAAGACTTCAAGCCGAACGTACTCTGCAAATCCCGACAACATAACTTACCTCCTGAACATTAACATGCCCCCAAACACCAGCAGCCTTCGCGTGGCATCTCTAACAGTACTGTCCAGCCCTTCTTCTACAGGCCAGACACTTGCAGGCAAACATGGGCCGCCAACTTCCAAACCAAGTTCAACATGGTGGCATCGGCAGAATAGTTGGCTACAGGTCCCACTCCAGAGTACTATGTTTTCTACCACAGTCCAAAAAAAGAAACCCTGAACGTACTCACAGTCACGCTCGTTAACTTAACGTAGAACTGGTCGGAGAGAACCGCTGCAGGCAACGCTCAAGCAACTTCTCTGGATCCAGCACAGACTCAGTAGCAAACTCCAGACTGAGAGGTTGCATTGGGATCAGACGCTATGAAGGTGCAATCCCAACCCCTTCTGGCTGAATTCGTTACACACCCAACTGGGGTTGGGTTGTTCCAAATCATGGTACTTTTTTTTCGTACCGCCACAGGTTCCTCCTGATTTGGGATGCCCAGAAAAGCGGTATGATCTGGGGAACAACGGGCATGCGCCCCGTAACTAGGGTCTGTGTTGAAGTGCTGCTGAACCAATCAAGCTGCGACATTTGAAGTCCATCAGCACAGCGCAACTCTCTTGCGTAGCCCCATTCGATCTGAGCGGCGGGCAGTATTCAAAGGAAAGAAAGCGTGTGTCTGATCCGTAGCTACCATGGTTGCCAGTACGAGTGTTTCTACATCTGCGACAGATTGGTCTCAAAGGTACGAGGACAGGTCATTGGCAGTTTCCACGAGCATGTGCCACGAAAATGCAGCACAACTTCGTGTTGACTGCGCACCACCACCACCACCACCACCACCACCACAAGGCCGATAAGAGGCATGCATACACCTTTTCAGACTAATCACTTGGGGGCACATGTATGGCCGATGGCACCTCGAAGTTTTCAGATAAGGTGCTTCAGAAATGAAGCTCAAGTTATGCTGTGCAGTGTTCATGAAGGGACGCCAGTGCATGTCGTGCATAGATGCAATGCTGTTTTGAGAGGCTGCAAAACAAATCTTACACAACAGAAAGCACCATGAATGCAGCTTCAATGCCCCGACTATTAATTTCAAGATATGCAATATGCATGCACATCAGGTGATTTGGATCCGTCTACCCCAGATACTGCCTGAGCGTTGCGAGCTGGCCCGGAAAACGGTCACCCTTTTTTCAGCGAAGACCAGGGACCGCTCTTGGACCCACTCTCGTGTCGTGAAACCCAGGCTCGACGTTTGCCAGCTACCTGGCACAGGTGCTTCAGAAAATCAGAAACCCCATTACAAACTCCCGGGGCGGCAGGGGCTTGTTCTGCATTTGGTACCAGCGGCAGTCTGCCCCAAGATCTGAAGGCCCCTGACGCTCCCAAACTGCCAACTTTCGGCCAGGAGGGCACAGCCGGCGACTGTAGGACGGCTTGCTCCCTGCCCCTGTCCTTCCGGACTGTCTCCCAATGCTGCCGAAGCTGCTCAACCTCAGGCGAGAACGAGAACTGCATGCGAGAATTTTAACTTGGAGATGTGTAGATAAGTGCTTGAACCTCCATCTCCGTCTGTCGCAACTCTTTCGAGAAATGGCGGGATGCCGAACAACTGAGCCGCTGTATCGACAGAGCATCCTGATTTCTAGCCTCAGGGCCTCTCGCGTCGAATGTCCAGGTGCTGTTTAACCCTGCGCTTCGCTTCAGGAGGCTGTGAGCAGACAAGGAGTGTTCTACAGAATATCCACCAGGCTACGAAGAGCAACCCTCATAATCACATTGCCTGAGTCAAGACCATTCACCTCAAAATTCCATATTCTTCAATATTCGGAAACCCTAAACCCTAAACCATAGACCGTAAACCCTAACCTTAAACCCTAAAGCAATGCTCCCAAAACCCACCAACGGCCCTGGCCAAAGAGGGCCCTCGGATCCCAGCACTGGCAGCTGACAGGCCCATGGGCATCTCGGTCCTCGGCAGAGCGTTTAAAGAAGTCAGCTTAGGGTTTGGGGGTTGAGGTTTAGGGGTTTTACGGGGCTTAGGGGTTAGGGGTTTAGGGTTTAAGGCTCTCGGCTATAGGGTGAAAGTAAGACCTGCAAAACCTCCCCGTTGGCTTGGACACCGGCTTTTGCCGAGCGTAGTGCTCCGCCTGCAGGCGAGGCAGGGACAGGTGTCCCCCCAAGGGCTCAGCATGCTTGCTAGGCCGGCTGTTAGGGGTTTGGGGGTACGAAGCTGACAACATCGATGATGTGACGAGGCAAGTACACTGAAAGGGACCAACCCTTCTCCCAAACTCATGACGTCCCCTGTCTGGCTACCAGGCTCGAGCGCTGATGCTCAATTGGTTTCCCTGAAACTCCAAGTGTTAGGGATGGACTGCCAGGGTTCATCTTAGTTGTTCGGGCAGCCTTTGCCTTCGGAAGGCCCGGGACGTGGACGTTGCAAAGCCATAAACTAGGCCCTGTACCTCCCAACTCCTAAACTGGCTAAACCCTGGAACGCTGACCCCCCGAAACCCGTAATGAGTAAACCCTCAACCGAACCCCTGGAAGAGGAAGCTGACACTCAAAACCCGTTCAGAAGCGAAAGACGCTGCCGCAGACCCCAAAGGCCAGAGACCCTCTCGAAATGGAATTGTTGAGAACATATGGGATGTCTAACAACAACCGTAAAATACTCGGATCCTCCTTCTACGGAGCTCTTAGTATACGGTACCACCTCTTCTGAAGAACGCACCCCTTTTCAAGTCAGCCCACCAGCTTGCCGAGGAGTGCGTCTTTTTGCTCTTTTTGGCGCATTTCCTGCACCTTCGCTTGTGAATCGCGAGGGGATCCGATTCATAAAACCCTGTCTGTTCAAGATGTCTAACTCCTAAAAACCCTTCTTTCTTGAATGGACTCGGATGCATTAGAAACCGCTCCTTGTATAGCAAGCATTCAGCTTAGGATCCTGGGTACAACCCTTGTTCAAGTTGGGGTTTGGGTTCATATGTTTTTCGGTGCCAGGGGATACATCGCGAATCAGATGCTCTCTATCATGATGGCCACCCTTGGCGCGAGGCCGCAAGCCCTGCCAATTAGAGTGACTAAGCTTCGGGTTTGGGCCTTTAGGACCTTTAAGGCTTTCGGGCTTTGGGCCATTGGGGTTACGGTTCGGGGCTGCTGGGCTTCTTCAGATGAGCTGGCCGCAAGCCCCGAAACTCGCAAGATCGCAACCCAACCTGCCCCAAGTTGAAGCGACCGGGCCCTTCCGCAAATACTGGAACTTCGAGAAGATAATAGGACCCCTAAAGCCAAAACCCCAAACCGATAATCCCTAAACCAATAAACCCTCAACCCCTCCCCGGCCCTGCTGTCCTTCTTCTCAGAGACGCCCGCGACCTGGTTCTGCCTTCGTTCTGCCGCCTCGCTTCCCAGCAAGCCGGGCTTTTCAAGATGGGTTTTCAAGCCTGGCAAACTCTCTTGAAGATGTGTGCGTTGCTTTTCCACATCCGCGGACAAAGATCACGATGAGCGCCCGAGTCGGCAGGGGCAGTTCATCCAAAGCACGACTTGGAAATCGCCGGCTTCCCACGAGTGCTTCGTCACGTCGGGCCTCTAGGGCTCGCTGCCTTCTCTCTTCCGGAGACACGGGGCCGGCTTCTCCCTCACTTGAGGGTCCTGGCAAGGAGCAGCGGATGAAGTTTGCTTTTGTTTAGAGGGGAGAGTGGGGGGCGCTTGGGGGTTTCAGGCTTCGGTCAGGGACTTTGGGAGGCCACAGCTGATGCTGTAGCAGTTTCCGGCACCTCCAAGAGAGCGTCCGCTGCCAGCAGCTTGCCAGCCAGACCTGCGCCATGCCATGTCGTTGTCATTACGAAACCCGAAAGACCCTAGAACACCAAGCCCGCAACACCCCTGCAAAAGACCCTTGCCTAAGTAAGGTCACCACCAACCCACCAATGGCCCACCAACCACATTGCATGACCCGATGAATCTGTACAAACTGTACATGCCCGGAGCCTCTAGCAATTTCACCTCGATAGTTGCTTTCGGAAAGCCACTATAAGGGAATGTCTTGCACAAGATTGCACGATCACCAAGGACACTCCCAACCATCCGGCACGCTGAAACACCCTGCGCCAAGCAAAACGCTCCAAAGCCCGGACACCCGCTTCCCAGACCCAGGGCCTGGAAGTCGAGAAAAAGGTTTAGACCCGCAAAGCTGAGCCAAGGCACTCGTAATAACTATGGAGTTTCGCAAACAGTGTGGTACCTATGAGGTTCCAACGTTGCAATTGGCTGCCGAAAGCGGTCCCCCCTTTGTGTAACGGTGGAGATTTCGCATCCGATTATTGATAGAAGACCGCTCCTGCAGGCCTTTTTTCGGAAGTTTTTTGGTCTCGAAATCCCTTGAACTGCAGCAGTGCTTGGCGGGAAAAGATCTTGGGCGCCCTCGCAAAATCTGCCAGAGCCCAGTGTCTTCGAAGGCATTTTGGCCGTGGTCCTGCATGCAAATCGTGGTTTTGTCGTATGGTCTCCTGGGGGTCTCTTCGTGGTGGTCTCCCGCTGTTTTCTTGGTGGTCTGCTGGAGCTCCTGTTGGGGCTCTTGGTGGTCGTCCTGGCTTTCCCTCCGATACTGGTGGTCGTCCTGGTGGTAGTGCGCGTCGTGGTGCTTGTGGTCCTGCAGGTAGTGGCCCTATAGTACTGTCCTGGTCTGGTCGTCAGGGCCGTCACGGCCGTGGCGGTGCTCTTTCATTGGGGATCTGCCCTGGCATGTGTCTGTTTCGAGCCCAGTCTCGGTATGGACGCTATACAGCTATACATGTCCTGGAACTGTGCCGGCGTCAGCGACCTGGCTCTGAAAAGCCCTCTACAGGAACTTACGGGTGGCCTCTGAGGCGCGGGTGAGGACCGCTGGGCACCTTGGGCGCCCTGCGCGGCAGCCCGTCGCGCATTGCGCTCCTGGCATTTGGAGGTGGTATATTGCTGGGGATATTATACTGAAAGCCTTCAGAGGATGTGTACGACAGCGTAAGCAGTCAGGGTTCAGGAATTTAAAGCTTCCGATTTATTGGCTTTGAGGCCCTTGAAGCAACGGGTGTTGGTGTCTTTCTGGGCGCTTCGATCGAGATTCAGCCACAGAAATTTCGCCCAGGGAGGTGCTTGGAAACTGGCCGTTGAAACAAGTGGAACGTCCCGCAGTACAGTGCAGAAAACTCCAAGCGCCCCTTAGCCAGGACCCCCGAACTTCAATCCGGGAGGGCGGGAACCTCTTCCTGCTGAAGCTTCCGGGCCAGCTTGTAATCATTGCCTCCGGCTTGGGGAGAGGACACCGGGTGGACATCATCAGAGTTCGTGCCCGCTGCCAGCTACTGTGGAGCAGCCATGAGCAGCCGGGAGATCCGGACTGGGGCGGAGGTCATTGCTGTTAGCAAGTCTTCCCCGCCGATCTGTAGGCTGCAGATCCGAAAAAAATGGATCCCTGCTGCATTGAACCTGCCCTACTATAGAGTTCGGAGCAACTACGAGGTAGTACAGTAGTCCTGTTTGCATAGGCGGCCGAAATAACTCTAATATCACCTGCACCCCTCAAAACCCAATGCTACTTATGCTATGCACGATCCTACAAATCCTAAACTTAGCAACCATAAAGCCCTAAGCCCAATGCTGCTAATCATCACAGACCGTTTACTAAACCCTAAACGTTGAAACACTAGACATAAGGCCCCTATGTTCAATCCTAGGGAATTAATTATACTATGATCAGGGGACAGCATCGTTCATTCTTCCGTATTCCGATCCCTAGATTGGGCCCACCCTTCTCCCGCCACGCAGATCAGGCCGGCGCTCGCGTCGGGCTCGCTTCCTGGCGGAAGCTTCGCGGCTTGGGGTTTTAGAGTTTAGGGCTAAGGGCCTTTGGGGATCCTATCGCAGTTTAAGCGTGACATGGTCGGATCCTGACTGTCAGGATCACTCATCTAGACCCTCAACGGTAGCCTATATGCATTGCGGATCCGTCTTGCTCAGCAGCCCCCTGATCAGGACCGTGTCTCGGACTAAACTGCAGCGTTGATGTTCCCTAAACCCTAAACTCTACAGAAACTCTGTAAGCCCTACACCACATAAACGCTCAAACCCTCAACACCTCCCGGCCTGTCTTCGTGCAGCCGCAGCCCATGTTCTTATGATGGGCTGGCTTCTGAAAATTTAGGGTACCTTGGTTGGTTATAAAGGGAATCTATAGGAAGGCCTTTCGGATTTACGAAGGGCTTCCGAAAGTGATAGAGTTGCTTCATTCCAACATCCTCATTGTAAGGCTTTTTGCTTAGGCTCTATGCAAGGGTCATGTGCCCGCTTGCTCGGATCTTCTCTTGGTCGGACATTGGGCTCTTTGCAACTTCGCATGCACATTGCATTGTTGCTCGCTGCAGAAACGAAAGCTCGCGAAACCCCGGGAGATGGAAGATGCTGCAAGCACCACGGCCCGCGGTTCCGTCGCATGGGCAATGTCAGCTCTGATCAATTCAGAGGCCCCAAAAGGTGGGATGAAGGTAGGTAGGATCAAGGATCCCTTATATAAGGACTATTATTTGGGAATATCCCACCTACCTTCACCCCACCTTTTGAGGCCTCCGATCAATGCCAACCGCAAAGGTTTGCCAACGGCAGTCCTGTAGACAGAGTGCTCTTCAGGACTCAGTGGGGTGTCAACCACAGTCTCGACAATCGTCACGGTACCAGTCGTCGCCACAGGCTTGGCATTCTTCATACAGTACAGATCAAGGATCGAATCAAAGTGTGTTTGATCAATCGGGGCTCCATTGTGTCGTAGCTTCCTTCCAAGGAAGGTGTGCTCAGTCCCTTACTTTTAAGAAACCCAAAAGATCAATCACCGCAAGAGGCTGGGCAGCGATATCGGGGTGGCATCACGGTCTCATATTCGACTGCCTGCTGTTGCTACAATAATTATGATCACGATTAGAAGAAATAGGATTAATATTGCAATTATATACTACTTGCATTATTGTGACTATATCGTTGTCATAACTATTCTTCTGACTAGGGCCCCCTAATGTAGGGGTCTTAATAATTAGAATAGAATTTTGGGGTATCTTAGACTATAGCTACTATTAGGAACCCCTAAAATAGTATTGGTAATTAATTAGGCCCCCAGATTCATTCTGAAACGCCTTCGCCTTTTTTTCAGCCGGGGAGTTCGGCCCGATAGCCCAGGTTTCGGGCTCTCAGCACAGCCGTCCCGGCAGATGGCAGATGCCTCCAAGGACCAATGGCCTAAACCCTAAACCCTAGGGTTTAGGGTTTAGGGCTGCGGGTTTAGGCAGGGCTTAGGGTCAGGGCTAGAACCAGGCTGTTGCAGTTTAGGTTTAATGCCGGGGGCCTCAATCGCTGGCAAAAGGGCTTAGTTTAATTATGACGGGCGTTCAGGTGTTGTGTCTAGCTGCTGAGTTTAGGATTTGGTATCTAAAGTAGGCTACGACGAAACCCGGAACCCATAACCGGCAGTACCAAGCCAGCTACCCTGAGAGCCCCACCTAAGGCCAAGCCCAATTTCAGGTCCTCGCTTGCCGGTGATGTTTAGCCTCTTTCGTGGTAATAAAAAATCTGAACAACTCATGGCTTCACGCTCCGAGAAGCCGAGCCTATGCGTCCCAGGAAAACACGGTGAGGATGACAACATCTCGCTCCTGCCAGCAGCGCGGAGATTCTGCTACCCCGAGCAGGTTAAAGGCTACTTACTCGTCTAGCAGGGCAGTTCTTGAAGAGAAGCCTGGAGCCCAGGTGGCTTAGCACGCCAACCTCCGGCCGTGCCGCCGCCGGCCGCTTGATCCCCGATGCATAACCCTTCTCCCTGATCTATCAATCAGGGTTCTACCCATAGGCCCCTAAGTAGTTCCTGCTTATGGTTTATATTTAGAATCCTATACGGTAATCCCAAAAAGGAACTACTTTGGGGCCTATGGGTGCATTCCCGTCCTTCATCTTTCGCATCAGCTCTGGTGCCTCATAGGACGCTGCATGAGATCCGACAGCACGGCAGTTTCTACCTGCTGCTCAGGCAGTATGGTAGGACAATACTGCAGCAGAATAGCCCAACAGATACACGAAACACAACAAACACGTTCCACATGTTCCACAACACGTGAATTGCATGCGCACCAGTACTAAAGACACAAACGGTACTAGTAACATCGGGTAACCATACAGGCATCCAGTCCATCCTGCACAACACAGCCATAAACCCGTGGAACTACTGCATCGTGAGAATGTTAAATGTTAATGTTAAGTAAGACCATTCTTTGGACCATTCACCTTGCTACAAGCACATGGTTCCTCTTGGTAAGCTTCGAGAACCATGTTGTAACCGAAAAAGTGAGTCTTAACAAACTGTTAAGACATTGATTCTCCCTGTCTAAGTCTCCATGCACGGTCTGCGATGTTCTGCCGACCTATGCGTTCGTGGGTTGTAGCATCCCAGCGACAAGCTCTTTCTGGCCACGCTGTTTGCGGCAGTCAGGCAGTCAGGTTTTCGGTTGAGCGCGGTGTGGCGGCATGTCTCAACGTCTGTTCTCGTTGAATGCTGTCCGGTGCTTGCCAAGTCTGTGGCACATCCAGTCACCCGAGATAAGAGTGGCAACGGCAGATTCACAGCAGAAGCTGCAATGAAAATACCAGCCGGCAAGCATGCCTTGCTCACCTATCCGAGAGCTGTGTCCATCTGCCCGGTATGACATGTCGAATCACTAATCCAGAGACCCTGACGAGATTCAACGCAGCCAAGGTGCCGTCCCGCGCTCGCCGTCAACGGCAATGATCTTGTCGTGAACTCTTATCTGTCGGTCTTTTCCGGCCTGATTCCTTCGTTGCACACAGCCGTCAGCTCTGCGTGGTCATGCGCTCCGAGCCGCATCATTCGGATAAGCCTTAATTCCTAAATCCCAAAACCAAAGCACTACCGCACTACCAGCCATAAACCCACATGGTATGAACTCGGGCTTGCCATTTCAGCGCGGCTGAGGCTCGAGGCAGCGATGAGCCCATTGGCCTCGATCCGCTGCACGGTTAGGCAGGTGGCCTCGAGAGCTTCATGGGATTCTATAAATTTAGGTTACCTTATTTTGGGGCCCTTAGAATAATTGGGGTACTATAATATGAGGGTTCCCTATTTTCGGAAACCCCTATAAGGCGTCAAAAGATGTTCTCGCGGGAGTGTTTCGTTGAGTTTTTACTGGGCTTTCATCGTGGGTCTATAGAATTTTACAGGCTCGTAAACATAATGTGCAGTTGATCTATGGGACCTTCTTTTCCAGAGCGTTTGGATTTGCTGCTTTCTGGTCCTGAGGTAATGAAAAACCCTAAACCCCAAACCCCTAAACCCTAAATCCTAAACCCTAAATGCAAAAACTACCTACCCAACGCTCTTTACCGCCCCTCCACCCTGTTCCTTGCCTTTTCGGAGACCGCCAGCTCCAAGCCAAGCCTGCGGCAACGAACCTAATTTAGGGTGCAGGATCATAAATAAAGATTCCGGGTTTAGAATTTTTTTTAGGGTTTAGGTCGACTCCGGGGGCGTGAAGAGCACTGTAAGAGCACCAAAATCGTCCCTAAACCCGAGACCCGATTCCTCAAAGCTCTTCCCTAAACCCCAGAACCCCACACCCTAAACTCCTCCCTGAACCTTAAGCCCCCCAAGGAACGGCCACCCTCCTTCTGAGGTCGGGGCGACCTCCCTTTCTTTTCAATGTAGTGCTCTGACTCCTGAGAGGCAGAACGGGTAAGGCTTAGTACTGCAACTTAAGCTCTTTTGAAGGGTCTATAGGGCTTGGGATTTAAGTGATTTAGGCTTTTGGGAAGGTTGAAGTTTCTTGGGCACCGATGGCGGAGCTCTGGGTCCAAAATCGGCTTTTGGGGTTTAGGGGTGAGTTCAGGTCTACCGAGTACGCAAGAAGGTCCGAGCCTGAGCCCCGCCCCGTCGAGCCCTGCGTAATCTTTGCACATCTCAATAGCTCAGTTCCCCCATGCAACACATCTTAACGAAACCCTCAACCACCGAAAAATGCTCCAAAGCCCAACACTTGTGTCTTGTTTCGACTATCCCATAAGACCATCCCCCCACCACATAGCACAACACAACAGATGTCCGCACAAGTTTTGCGTGTGTTCAGGGTTTCTCTCTCGGGCATTCGCTGGACATCTCGAAATTGCGAGAGCCTAGGATAGAGGCCTTAATAATTCGAAGAGGGTTTTGGGTCATTCTAATTACTATAATTATATCATAAGGAACCCCCAAAACACCCTGTTCTAGTTTTAAGGCCCCTACATTAGAGCTGTGCTTCTTTCGTTTGGGGTATAATCATAATCATTGTATAATATACCCCAAACCATATTCTAATTATTAAGGCCCCTGTATTATATTAAAGCCGCGTTTCTTTCGTTGGGGGTTAGGGTCTGCAGCCTGGCAGTGCTGCAGGACGATGGTCAACTTTTGCCCCTCTTTCTCAAGCAAGGCGATGAGGTCCTAGGGTGGCGACAGTACGGTTGGGTTTAGGGTTTAGGGTGTAGGGTTTAGGTTGATTTCAAAGGCGTTTGGGGTTTAAGGTTTGGGGGCGTGAGGCTCGGGGATTAAGGGTAGTATTTAGGGATTCGAGTTTCGGCAGCGGGATCTTGAGGGTATGCCCGAAGTTCCGCATACGCCAGCACGCAAGGCGACCTTCCCAAGATTCCAGATTATGGCTTGAGATTTAATGCTGGACTGTAGGTTAGGGGCCTACGATCTACGGCTTCAGAAAGCTTCACGCAGCCCTCACCTGTGAAGGTTGAGACGTTCGGACTGAAGTGTCTGACATGGCATCTGCCGTGCACTGTGCAGGCAAGCTATACTTTCCGTGCGGAATGGGAATCGTTGAGGTTGCTATTTCGTCGCATGCTGTCATTGTCTTCCTCTGCAAAAACGGATCGTGCTTTGGCCTGCGGTCTCTGTAAGAACCTCAAGGCAACGCAGAAGAAACAAACCTCCAGGCTTGAGGCCAAGCTTCTTCTGCCGGCGCCTCCTGGCCGTTTACCCTCTTGATCTTGTCTCCAGAGCAAACCTCACTGGCGGAAAATCACAAACAATCCTTGACCCCCCCCCTTAGTCTGATTGAGACGGGTTTCACGGGGGTTCGAGTCGTGTTGCTTGTGCCTTGTTTGCCTTTTGGAGCTTAAGGTGTAGAATCCAGCTGGGCGCCCATTCTTGTACATGCTACCCGGCTCTTTCGGATCTGTAGTTGTCATTCCAGAACCGGAGCCTTGCGCAAGGGATCTGAAACTTGCGATCCTCCCACAATGCAGTACCCGGTACCTAAAGAAGTCGAGTTGCCTTCTTCTCGTCGTCGGCAGTCTCGTTGTAGGTGTGCAACAGCCCAGGTCCCGTCAGCTTCACCACCATCAGATTCTGTCCGAGTGTGCAGTGCTGCTTGGGTGTGGTTCTTCCAGTTTCGAATTTGGGGCGTCTGAGAAGGTCGCCTGATATCTGTCCCCGATTTTGGATTCTGGGCCTGCTCTTTCAACAGCCAGGACTCCGATGTTGCAGGATTTCAAGGCCTTGGTTTGCAAATCCACTCACCCCAATGAGCAACATGGCCAATCTGCACCGAAGAAGGAAGTAGGTCCATTGGCCCCGGCCCCGTTTGTCGTTGTTAGTCCGGTTTATGCAGCGACTCGTTTTCCGTCAGCATCTGGAGCTCGTCCCGACACCAGAGACGGGGACAAGAGCGCGGGCAGGCCTCAGCTTGCTTTCGGCACCGTGACCCCCGCGGACTGAGACCGCCTCAAGTCGCTTCGTGTGGATTGTGGAATGTAAGAACGAGATCACTTCTTGATCTTCTTTGGGGCGCCGGAAGCCGATTGAACTCGCCGTCATGCCTTTGACCAAGGCCGTCACTAACGGATCAGTGCCAGCAGTAACATCTGTGTAGCAGGACATGACGTTGGGACAGTTGCACGGCCTCTCCTCGTAGGCACAACCGACATGAACTCCGGAGTCCACCTCCTCCCACATGTCGCTTCAGGCGCTTGGCTCGTCAGCTCCGTTTGCCACTGTGCCGACGTGGTAACTGGGACTGGAACTTTCCATAGGACTCGACGCAGCTCCAGCATCTCCGATGCTTTGCCACCATAGAGATCGCTCAGCTCGCCCGTGCTCGTGTCGCAATGCTGAGCGGAGTTGGGGCATGTGCATGTGCCTTCAGCCAGTGCGCAGCCCAGCAGGTGCTTCGATTCGCGGCGATATGGCTCATGTCCATAACCCCTCCGGCAGAAACCTCCATTGGACTTCTTAAGTGCATCTTCCTCCTCTTGAAAAGCTTCAAGATTGTAATCCTTTTCGCACCTGCCGAATCTTGTCTGCAGATCTCTGCGGAGTGCCCCGCACTCGGGGTCTTCCCCGTGGCGCTCCTTTACATTTTGGGTTGTGGCACGGTACTGGTTACTAGTTTACTAGTTGTACTCACTGGTACACTTGCATTCGTTTGAAGCCCCACATCCGAAGATGTCGTGCAACACATGCCCGCACCACTCATCCTTCCTCGCTTGCCCTCTGCGCAGCTGAGATTCGGGGCTTCTTCCCACCAGGTGCCCAACATTTTCTGCTGCTATCATTAAGGGACCTCTGGTTAAGGTGTCTCTCCGAAAACATTTGAGTTTGCCTGCTGTGAGGGTTAACAGCCCCGATCCTAGGGAATGCTCTCAGAAGTTCGGCATAGATCCCCTCCCCCTTTCTTAACGATTTTCTGTCGTAATCTCCGTAGCCACAGAGGGTGCTGAAGCAAGGAAAGACTCTAGGAGCCAAGCCAACGTTGCAAGGCCATCTGGTTGGCATGTCGCAATGCCCGATTCAATGCGTGATCTCGTTTGACAGCATCCACTCCTTAACCTTGCTAAACCGGCAGTTGCCTGATGGTTACCACCCACTGGAAGATCTGCTTTGAGCTCCTCGGGCTCGAAAAAGCGATGCTCCGCCACGTCCATTCCGGCTAAGCTCTGGTTCCAAGCTTCAAGCCATGCGTCAGTTTGTTTTTGCCATGCTTCTTTGTCAGCCCCCGGAAGAGTTGCTGGAACGGGCGTCAGCGTCACGAGCCACTGCGACATTTCCGTCACGGAGCAGATCGATGCTCGACGCTCTGCCAATTTCAGTTCGTGGCTGCATCCCTTTCCAGAAGTGAAGGCCCCTCGATGGAAGGTGATCTGCATGGCAGCGCAAGAGCATCCCGAACTGTCAAGGCTGAAGCTCCGTCACCTTCTATTTGGCTTCCGAACTATGTGTTGTCCCGACAATCTTCAGTTGCCCAAAACCGTGCCTGACAAGCTTGCCAGTGCTCATCCACTTCATATCCTGGATACGCCCGATGCTAGCATGAAGCAACCAGGACTCAAAGACTAAAATCAAGCACTCAGGTAGCCTCTCAACCACCCACGACAAGCTACCCCCAAACCTAAACCCCGAACCCTGAACACGGAACCCACCTCGGGATCCATCTTGTCGAACTCCACGCCAAGAGGCTCGGAGCCCTTGCGGCTGAGTTTGACCACCTGGGGACTCGATTTCCCCGGGTGCGGGATAGGGATTTGGTGTGAATAGGGCCGATAAGGTGTTTCGGGTACATGGGGTTTTGGCACAGAACTTGTATACCGCTTGGCTCCCTGAGTTCTGACGGAGAGTTTTGACTGCAACGAGTTGACCGAGCTCGTCAGGGAAAAATATGCCTCTGCCTTGAAGCTGAAAGCTTAGGGCTTAGGGTGACGGCAAACGCAGAGAGCACCGAGGCCCTTGCGAACATGCCGGCAAAGTGTGCCTTCGCCAGACGGTGCGATGAAGACGCAGGTACCAGAGACATGGCTTGGGGCAAGGAAAAGCGCAAAGTTGGCCTGCAAGTCTTCAACTTCCTCATCGTCCTGGCGCCAGCATCTCAGGCTTAACCCTAAACCCCTAAACCCCTAAACCCAAAACCCCTAAACTTCCCTCCCCCAGGCCGGAGAGAGCTCTGCAAAAAAAAGGGCCCCCCCCCAGGCGCCTCTGCCGGAAGCTCCACGGACCTCTGGCTGCTGTCTTGACAGACAGCCTCGGCGAGGGTCTTTGTGTTAAGGGCTCTCTACCAGGGCTGCTGAACCCTGGAGTTTAAGGCTTCGAGGTTCGGTTTGAAGCTTTGGGGATCCAGGGTGATGCGAGACAGTCACCGGCCTTATTTTCCCAGCTATTGAAGTTTTTCTTCTGATGTGAAGACGTAACATAATCAGCCCCTATCCAAACGCCTCAAACCACGACACCCTGGATCCCCTAAGCTGCTTCCAGAGCTTGAAGAACCGTAGTGCCACGAAGATGACCTCTTCCTGGGCCACCTGCACTGCAGTCCACGCCGCCTGAGCAGCAAAACCTCACGGCATTGATTGCAGGTTGAGGCTTTAGCACTTGTAGGACATTGTAGGGTTCCTGAGGTCCTGGTGAGGGACTTAACCACGAAGAGTACGGCTTAGGGAATAGGCTGCAAAGGCCTTGCAGTGCAGTTCCTGGTGGAGTGCTGGGGGGAGTAAGGTTGAAAGATTTCGGGTGTAGGTTACAGGTAGGATGTGTGCAACAACCTGGAGGTGAAGCCAACTTACGCGAAGCGAAGGCCGCGCCTGTGGTGGTATTTTCTTACAGTGCGTGTGATTCAGGGCGAATTTGTAAGTGGACTAACTGATTGTCACTATTGTTGTTATTATTATTAATATAATGATGATAATTTAACTAATTGTCCGGAAGCACATCTCAAAGAGAACAACGTAGCTGGGAGCCCTGCGCGAAGGTGCCATTCAGAAACATCGCAGTGTTGGGCACACCATGTAAGTTGCAGCCCCGCGGGACGAGGAGGGCTTGTGGGTTCTGGTGGTGTGGAAGTAGTGTGGGGTGCAGGGTGGGCTGAGGGTTTCAGACTTACGTTGCCGGCCAGTCTTCATCCGCGATTCTCGTGCATGTTTGCTTCACTCCTCCTTAAGGCAACATGACGAGCAGCTTCTTGCATGCTGGCCTATGCCATATAGGCCTATGCAGTATGATCTCACATATCTCGGTACTACACAGCGCGAGCATGGGCCAACCTGAGCAACACGAAACCGAAGAGATTCTGGTTGAGTGTGTTGCAGAGTTCAGTGGATCGGCGGGGTCGGCTTGCTGCCATCACAGAACACGTGCGGTTCTCTCATTTCAACGGCAGAGCTGACAGTTGAGGCCTTGCGCGTGTGGTGTTCCTGTCATGTCCTGCTCCACAGGCACATGCAAGACAACTAAGCAAAGCAAAAAGCAGCGCTGTACATGCAAATCCCGGCATGGGACGGCGCGGCAGCAGCTCGGCAGAGCTGGGTCGGCCTCAGAGAGGAAGAGGTCAACACTACACATCATCCGCTTGTAGAATCACAAGTTTGGTCGTCGTAGGCTGTTCAACGTCAAAGAGGACGAAGCGTTTCGGGATGAGTGCGAAGGCAGCACGAACCTGTTTTCCTCACGCAGAAGAACCGCTTTTAGTCAGGTTCCGTCTGTCATCCTTAATCGTAAAAGCCTTTAAACCCTGACCTTAATTCCCCTCAACCCCAAACCCTAAAACCCCAAATAAACCGTAAACCCGAGTGCCAAGCAAAGTGCCGAGCTTCTCTATAGCGGAAGCGGCAAGGTAGGCGGATTGGCTGGAGGATCCTCGAGTCCGGACCCACGACGCCCATCACATCACATACTGCAACTCACACACACCTAACTATGTTTTTCAAAAAAATTGAATACATGAGTGTGTGTGTGTATAATATATATATACATATATATATATGTATGTATGTATGTATGTATGTATGTATGTATGCATGTATACGACATACATACATACATACATACATACATACATACATTATACATACATATGCGCAGACCAGCTATACATCGTCCAACAGTATGTTCAAAAAGAATTAATCCGGCTTCCGCAATGAAAAGCCATGGCTCTAATGGAGCCATTACGCATGCAGAGTAACCGGAGAAAGCGCATTAACAACTACACGCCAGCGTCGCAGTGAAGCGACACAGGTGCACCAATGAGTCCTCTCCAGGTGACACATACAGCCATCAGAGTACAGCAAGAATGTTGATTGGACATGCAGGCACTACTTAGAAGTATGCTGATGTCTTTTCGATGTTGTCGAGAGCATGGGTGATACAAGATGTGGCGATAGTCTGAATCACCATGAGCAGTGCTGCTTGATACTGCCTAGCGGAACCCTTCCGTCTATAGAGCACTACCAGTCATGGCTAAACCCTAAACCCTAAAACTTAGTAAAAGAATCGGTGCTCAATGCGCAATTTCAGTTGAACTGTCTTCCCGGACCCACAGGTTTCGAAACCGAAGGCAGCACGGAGGGCGCCCACAGAATGATTGGATCAGCTGCTGGGGCCCTGCGTTCCACTCTCCTTTGGAGAACCGGCTGCGATTTGGAACTCCACTATGGCACACCACTAGCTGTAGTGCTCTGTTGAGGAAAAGAAGAGGTACCCCGTCTTTCTGGTTGGCCTAAACTGGCTGCTATATTGGACCTTCACAAAGAGCACCCAAGGCACATCATCTACATTGCTGGGTGAGCAAGAGGCAGGCTCAGTGTCAACGGTCGCTGTCTCCAAAGGTCGCCTGCCTCGGTCGGATTAGAACAGTTGTTTTTGTTTTAAGCACCTTTTTCCGCCTAGCAATCAAGGTTGGTTTAGGGTTTAGGGTGACAGAGTTTGGGGTTTAGGGTTTAGGGTGACAAAGTTTGGGGTTTAGGGTTTAGGGTTTACCAACTATAAGCTAGACTCTCAACATATACCCCCGGAGTCCAACCCTTCAGTGTAACGTCAGTTTAACAAGTGCGTTCAAGCTTCAAGCAAACCAAGTCAAGGCTTGAGCCCAGGCATTTAACTGGGGGTATGATGTCTGGGACATTACACACTTGACCGTTTAGGTTCTCGGTTCTGGCATCCTTAAAGGTCTTCGTTTTCAGGCTCAGGCTGTCAGTGGATGAGTTGAAACCTAGAACCCAAAGCAATGGGAAAGCACAGCATGTGCCATCCCCACCGACTTGCGCACCTGTCCCTTGTCAAGAGTCTAGTTGTGGCGCTCAGGCTCAAGGGCAACGAGACCACGCCAAAAGCATCGCACAAGTAAGAGACATGCTGTGCTAAGTCGGTGATCAAGTTGCAGCAAGCGCAGTCATGACACTGCAACGCAATGCTCGAAAAATACTTTACTTTTGGTTGAGTTGTTGCCTTGTTGCTTGTATTTGGGTGGCGGTGTGTTGCATTCTGTTTTCACGGTGCTCACAGCCCTACTGGCTTGCTTGCATGCTTGACGCGAAACTTGAATTACATGCGCATGCGTGCAGGTACAGTATCGTGGTCTGCCAGCTCGTAACACCAAAAAACCCAGGCAGGCTACCAGTGCTTGTTGATTGCCTGTTGACCGTTGACCTTGCCGATGCACTACGTCTGTGTCGAGTGCCCTTGCCAATCCGCGGGTGACTTGATCTTTCCTCGCCTGCAGGTGCTGTTTGCAAGACTCACCACGTAGAATGCACGTCCTTGCCACTGGGACAACCGTACTTGGCAACAGCCGCATATCAGCCGCTTCCCGCAAAAGCCCGCGCCCACCAAGTTCAACGGGTCCGCGGCCCCAAATAGGGTATTATAGGGCAAGGACTATCAGGGTATATTGTTACGCATCATCTGAAAACAAGCCACATATACTATATACATATACCTATCTATCTATCTATCCATCTATCGATCTATCTACATGCATGTATGTATGTATGTATATACAAATATATCTATTCATTTATCTATGTATCCATTTATTTGTCTATAGGTATATGGTACATGCGTATATCTATGTGTGCACATCTATCCATCTATCTATCTATCTATCTATCTATCTCTATATATATATATATTCAAATATATATATATATACACATACGAATACACGATACATAGATAAATAAATAAATACATACATATATATATATATATATACATATATATGATATATGTATGTCGTCGTGTCATTGCTTAAGTCCAAGACAGAACAGAGCACAAACGAGGTCGGGCCCGGACATGGTCTTGTTGAGGTCACCAACCTGCCTGTGAGGGTGTAGGGTAGAGGGGGTTGAGGCATCTTGGGGTTCGGGGGGTTTGGGGTTTAGTCTTAGGGTTTGGGGGAGTGGTTGGGGCACCTTAGGGTTCGGGGTTTGGGGTTTAGTCTTAGGGTTTGGGGGAGTTCAGGGTCCAGGTGCCTAGGCCTACACCCCCTACTCTGCGTGAGAGCTACCCCCTTGCCTCGAGATGGTTCTGATATCCTTTTTCAGCCTGACAGCACGACGAGACATGCAGCCGCACGAAGGCAATTTCAGCAAGCGTCGGGCCTGTAAATGTCAATGGCGCGCCCATTGCCCATCATCTGCCTGAAGCTTGGGCTTTGAAAATTGTGACAAAGGATTGAAGTCGCGGCTAGCGTCTCCTTTCCTTAGGGCACATGTACCTTTGTTTATACTTCGGCCGCAGAAGCCGTACCCATATAGTAGCTGTAGTCGTTCCAGAATACACTTAGTATAGGATAGTATAGGGACCTGATTAAGAAACGTTGGGTCTTTATATGAAGCCTAATATATTTGGGGTTATAGGGCCAGGGTTTCTTAATCAGGTTCCTGCATTATACTGGTACATGGACCCTTAGGGCTTGCAGCCGGATCGATCTCAGCTAGGCGCCGAATCGCATGAGCGAAGTCGGCCTGTGGCTGGACACCGACGAATTTTACGGTTTGGGGTTTAGGGTTTAGGGGTCGGGTCTAGGGTTGATTTAGGGTTTAGGGCGGTTTGGGGTACAAGAATGTCCAGTGGAAGACTGCTAGTATGCAGACATCGTCGGCAACAGCGCGCCTGGACGATGGCGCCGCTTTGCGCGATGTCCAGCAAGTCCTGGAAGGTCGTGCAAGACGGGCTCCTCAAACTGTAAACCTCCTTTAGAACAGATGGGGAACTGGTCAAGCCGCACGGCAAAATGGGTATCCTAACAACAAGCATGTAAGCCTTTGCATGCAGGTCTTTCTGAGGGCCAGCAACCCAGCCACCTGCTGCAGCAGCCTTCCCAGTAGTAGCAGTCACGGTCGCAGTCGCAGCAAAAGATGCACCAGCAGACGTCGTCGTCGTTGCCGTCGTCATAGCAGTGGCGGCAGCAGCAGCAGCAGCAGCAGTAGTCCTCGTCCCCGTTGTCGTCGTGAGGTCAGAACAGAAGCACTTAAACGGAGAAACTCGGAGCGGCACCCAGAGCTCCGAAGGAGTGTACCCGTCGGAGACAATTCCAAGCTTTCCTGGGTTGGCGCAGGTGTCGAGTTCACAGCCGGGTGGGTTTTGTTGACTTGATGATCAATTCGAGCAGAGACGGCTCCCTTAGCTGCTGTCCTAAATGATACATGATTGGAACTTGCAGGCATGACTCGGAATAGCATTTGCACCCTTTCAGTGTAGAGCTGGCTGCAGAACTCCTTCTTGGTTACATCACCTGCCCGGGGATGCAAAAGCATCAGCTATGGATCAGACCGTCGCAAGACACCGACTGGCCGGCCGCAACGCAACTTTGCTCACAGCATCTCACAGTATCTCCTCTCACACCGCACCAGCTTGAAAGCATCGAGCAAACCACCCCCTGAGGCAACAAACTACCCTTCTCCACAAATCGGACATTCGCCATGATTAAAAATCGATCCATCAGCATTCTGCGGCTAGAGGTCGGAACACGACTATTCTGCCCGCAAGCTAGTTTGGCAACTCAGCATTAGACCTTTTGATCCACTGGTTCAGCCCTTGCCGTTTGAAGACGACGATTGAGACACTGACCAACTCCCATCACTGCCCCCATCGCTTCTAATTGCAATTGAAACGGCCTGAGCTGTCGGCATCCACTCGGTAAAACAGCTCTGCAACGTCCGCCTGGAGTGGTCTGAAGAGAGACTGACAAGCTTGCTGCTTGGCTCTGACTACCCCAAAAACCCAAAAAAGACCAAAGCCTTTAAAGCGGCCGATGGTGTCTGACAGACAGACTTTGAAATGCAGCCTTGTTGCCAACCACTGCTTCCGCTCCTTTTGCAGCTCCTGCTGCACCACAGACTCGTCGGTCTTTTTGGTGACCTGCCAACGCCCGAAGCCCTAATTAAATGCTAAACACCCAGCCCCGCAGACTCAAAGCCGTAAACCTAAACCGCTCGGCCCCAAACCCTCAAACCCTAAACCCAGAATCCCAAACCCCTCAACCCTAAACCCTAAACCCCTCAACCTTCAACCCTCAACCCTACACCCTAAACCCCTCAACCCTCAAGCACCAAAATCCCGAAGCCCTGAAACCGACTCCCACGCTAAACCCGTGCGGACACAGAACCCGAAGCTTGGCGTCGGAGGTGCAGTTCTTGGGCTTAGGGCTTAGGGCTGTGAGGGTTTAGGGTTTAGGGTTTAGGGCTGAGGGCTTAGGGTTTAGGGCTTCGGGCTGTGAGGGCTTATGAGCCTCATGCCTATGTAGACCCACACTTCTACAAGAGCCTGGTACTGGGATCGGTACATACTAGAAGAGCGAAGTGTTTATTTATCAGGGGCTACAATCCCGGGTCGCCACCGGCTCCACTAAAGCCGTTGATCGTTTACATTTTCTGTATTCGGGTTTGTGCATCGCCTGCGCGGCTTCAACGAAGATGCCCGTCATCACATTCAGGCAGCAGAAGACCTGGGAGACATGAGCCATATGAAGCTCACGTCGGAGACTTCAAAATTGTCATGCGAGCTTGAGAATAAGCAACCTCGTAGAACCCTCAGTGTTGGGTCCGCTGGAAAGGCATCCCGCATCCCCATGGAAAAGCGTATAATAGTCTGTTGCTGCCTTTATACTTGTATGGTCCTTTTCCCGAATCGTAACTCGAAGACTCGCATGTCGCTCGTTCGGCTTTGCCTGTCCCAGCACGCAGTCCGGAAGCCGGTCGTAACACATGGCACAAAAGCACATCAAACAGTCGGGTATGGTTCTTCGTCACTCATCTTTCACATAGATTCTCCACTCTTTAGTTTCGAGCAGGGTGATCCTTTGTCGCTCATCCTTCACAAGATTTCTAGTCCCTTTCGAGCGGTGCTTCTTTGTCGCTCATCCCTCACAGATTGTCATGCCTTCCTGGCATCGGCTCCGAGACCGCAGCGTCTTGCATAGACTTCGCCAGCGTCCAGCACGAGATTCGGAGCAAAATCGCTGTGTCGGTTCGCTCTGCCGCCACTTCCATCCGACTCCGACGCCGGCCACTCTCCAGACGCGAAGAACTATAGTCCCCTTCGAGCGGTGTGCTTCTGTGTCGCTCATCCATCACAAATTTTCCAGCCTCTTTTCAAGCAGTGTTCTTTTTGTCGGGCATCAATCACAAGCGTCGGCATTGTCGCTCATCCGTCACAAGTTCTCTAATCTCTTTCGAGCGATGTGCATCTTTGTCGCTCGTCCTTCACAATATCTCTAATCTCTTTCGAGCGGCGTTCTGCATTGTCGCTCATCCCTCGCAAAGTCTCGCTGTCGAGCCGCTCATCCCTCACAAATGCTCTAGTCACTAGTCCCGCGGGATTTTTTTGTCGCTCATCCTTCACATGCTCTAGTTCCTGTCGAACGGTGTCGTTCTTTGTCGCTCATCCTCACAAATTCTCCTATTCCTGTCGAGCGGTCTGCACTGCTTCTTTGTCGCTCATCCTGACAAATTTTCCGGTTCTTCTGCAAGTCGTTGTATAGAGTGTGTGTGCGTAGTCCTTTTCCCCGACTCGTAGCTTGCATTGTCGTGGCTGGAGACTTCTGTAAACCAGCCGGGCACTTTGAAGACAAGACAGGCACAGTCACACCCAGATTTGAAGCACCCACTGCGGTCTGATGCAAAAATAATAAATAACAAAAAAAAGTCATGATAAAAATGATAACAATAACAATAACAATAACAATATTATAAACATAATAATAATACTAATAATAACAATAGCTTTACACTTCCGCCCGGGCACTTGTGGCGATCAACTCTCCTTTGCCGAGATGGTTCTCCGGCGGGTAACGAAGCGTAGACTTCGTTGTCTCTCAGGCTCTTGCAGGTTAAAAAACTGCGCGGTCTTTCGGATCCGATGTGTGTTTGCGTGGTTGGGACAGCAAGCGCACTCGGAAGAGTGCCAGCGACAAGGTCCGGGTGTCGAAAACCGTGACTCTCGTCCATGAAAGCCGAACCCTGATGCTGAAAACGAAGGTCACTCAAAACCCGAGAAGATCGAACAGCAACAGCTCTCAACCAATGACACCTTGATCGTCTCGCTGCATTCATTTGATTGGGGCCAGCTTTGACTCTCGGATTCGCGCTTTCCATCCGCTTGCAGTTTGCCTTGTACCTATCCTGGGGGAGCAGGCGAAACGGGGGTCCCCTTCCAGGTACAACACCGGTGCAACAGGAGTCCTTAAAGAGACCTTACGGAACAGCCGTTTCTAGTAACCACAGAAACAGGAGTCACCGACATCTGCCCCAGCTGCTGCCAGGGTGCCGTACAAAATATGTAGATAAGGAAGACGAGGTCCAAGAGCCAGTGGATCTCGCTGAGGGGGGTCAGAGCCTCTTTCCACAGCATGCCACCTGTCGAGGTCGGGGCCACCATTCTGGGAATGTCGGAACATGCTGGAGCTTGATGTATAGAGCCCAAGACCGAGGATGCCTATCGTAGAACCCCCGAAAAAGGAGCCCCTAAGTTTATGAAACTATGCAGAGCACTCCCGGGCAGTCCGCACGTGCTGCCTGAAATCGTCATGAAGAGCGTGAGAATGGATCGCGACAACCTCGAGCACAAGATTGTGCGGGATCCGCTCCGACTCCCTCCATCATGGAAGCCTACCCTGCGTAGAACCAATATAGTTCAATATAGATCTTTGAGCGGCTTATGCGGCTTATGCATTCTGCATCGAGGCACGTTCCATAGTAATCCAGCAGTGGGCTGCCTGGAGTCCCAGTTTCCTCCAGATGCGCTCGGGATAGCTGCATAAAGGTGACGCCAAAAAGGTACGTGACCTCAGGACTTGGCCGTCTTTGGCTCTTACGTAGGTTTCGGGCACTACGTGCTCGTGCTCCAAGCTTCCTTTCATGCATTGGGATTTCGAGACTCAAGCTTCCAACATGCTATGTTCCTGCGGTTTCGGTTGACATGTCTCATCCAGTCTGTAAAGCTTTGGGGCTCTTAAAACCGGAGGTGCCGACCCCAGAGTCTGAATCACCAAGGAATGTCCAATTCTTTCAAGCTGAAACCCTCAACCCTAAAACCCTGAACCCTAAACCCCAAACAACCGCCAACCCTCAAAAAACGAGATCTTCGAACCCTCAGAAGAAGAAACAGCAGCCACAGCCGGAGCTGAGGCCGGAGCTAGGGAGAGCAGCACCTCAACTCTCAGACTTGTGTACCGCATTTGTTTGTGTATGTTGGTATGTATGTATGTATGCATACATATATATATATATGTATACATACATACATGTAAGTATATCTGTGTGGGTGTGTGTGCGGGTGTCTGCGCGCATGTGTCTGTGTAGGTTGTGTGTCGGCCTGCGTGTGTGAAGTTGGTGCTGTGTGTCTATCGTGTGACAGGGTGGGGCTACGGAAAGGGGATGTGAGTTTAGGGCTGAGGGGCTCAGGGCTTTCTGCCAAGTTAGGCTGTTGGGTTTGAGTGCTCAGCATTTTCAGGTCTTCGGTCTTCTCCTTGTAGGGTTGGGTCTGGTCTCTGGCTCTCTCGTGAGAGTTTCAGAAACTCGGCGAGCCGCCCGCGCGTAGTGGAAAGGCCACTTACAGGGACCCCTAGCTCCTTAAAACCTTCACGGTGGCGCCATGGCTTCCCAAAACTCTCCAGAAATCATCGACCTCCTCGCTGAGGTCTTGGAGTTGGAGGTATGTGATTCTAGAGTTCAAGATACAGGGGCTACAAGGGGATACAAACCATTGAGCCACTGTTTGGCAGACCTTTGATTATAGGGACTCTTAAGGAGGTAGGGATAGGGGTGTGGGGGACTAAACTTCCTTAAAAAGGGGCCTTTTATAAGTGGAATTAAGGCCACTACTGCCCTTCCCCCCCCCCGGCCCCCTAAGGGTCCTTATGATTTGGGCTTTGGCCAAGGAGCGATCGACCAGAGAAGCGCACGGGAAGAGGCTTTGATCCCATTGACCATGACTCGCAGATCGCTGAAGAAGCGCACCACCCGCAGAATTCGAGCGACACCTCGCGGAAACGAGCCCAATGAGAAGGTGGTAGGCTTTGGGATTCCTCTATACTTTTCTAGAAGGTATTATAACTATGGATGCTCTCACAAATCTTGTGGTCAAGCTATTGCTCTGCATTGCATTTCGGCAAGCCTGGACCGCTGGCCTTAAACCCGAGCTCCAAAACCCCAAGCCCAAATGGCCACAGAACCCTGAACCCGATATCATACACCTCATACCCTGCCGTGCCGAGTTGCGCAGAAGGCGCGCCATGCGGAGCAGTCTCAGAACAGACCTGATCAGGCAAGACAGCTCCCTGCAAAGGAACAGCACGCTTTCGGAAGATTCCGGACATAAGGGACCCCTCAAGGATATAGGCCCAGGGACTCGGATCCTTGTTGACAGGATGAGGCGATGACTTCCCGGACTACATGGATTGAGGCAGGTGGCACGTCCAAGGAAGACTCGCTCGCGGAAATTAGGAGGATGATCTCTTCAAGCCAGGCAAACCTCAGCATCTGCAATCGTTCTCCATTCTTGCACGGCTTAGTTGGCCTTGCTGCTCTTTTGGGGCAGGGACGTGACCAGGAAAATATCGAGCAGGTTCCAGTACCTCGTTTGCAGCGCATGTGGCTGCCGTCTCGAGTTGCCATGTGCAGCCAAGCGGCAGGGACGGGTTCACTAATGAAACGAAGAATTTCCGATCTGCCTGCCCGACAGTAATGCAACACTAAGGCCTCTGGACTATATACTGGCTCCACTGAAAAAAAGTACACGAAACCGACTGCAGGCGTGGCGCTGTGACTCTGAGAGCCAGCTCGAGAGCAAAGCAAACGTTGCAGCAGATGTCAAGCACACGCAGCAGCATGTGCGGGTCCTGGCAGCCAGGTGCCATGCAACAGATCTGCCAACGCGAGAACCCCGGTGCTAGAGACAGACTGCACGAAAGCGACAAAGAATGGTAATATGATGGTGATGTTGATGTTTGACGAAGATGAAGAAGAACAACATCATGATGATAATGATGATGATGATGATGTTGATGATGGTGATGATGGTGATGATGATGCGAATCATGACTGCTGTCATGGCTATCATTGTTGCTCCCCTTCTAAGTACTACCATTAGCACCATCATCATCAGTACTACTGCATTGGCTTTCGCCTACTAACTGGGTTTATGTTCTAGTGCCTCGGGGTTACAGAGCTGATAAGTGCAAGTTTAAGATTTGGGGCCTAGGGCTGCCTTTCTGAGGTAGGTTCGGGGACTCAGACGTAAGAGTCCCTCCTTGAGGGATCCTGAAACCGACCTGCTTTCATGGTCTCCCGGATCGGGAAGTCCTCCGGCCTTGTTGAGATTCTCCAGACCCCACTGCGCTTCGATACCAACAAGGAGCGAATTGAAGACCACGATGAAGGAGACGAGCCACCTAGGAGTAGGGCTGCGGGCAATTGATGGATTGAGGATTTCATCCCGGCCAGTGACTTCAGTGTCCGTTCTTTCAGTTAAGCTCCGCTTGCAGAGACTGCGGAAAGTGCTGCAATGTATTGCTGGACCCCACGTTAACTCTGAATCCATGTGGCTTAGCGGGTAGGATTTGAGTTTCTCTGGCTTGTGAGGGTGCTCAAAGTAACTGGAATTTCCACCAGTGTCAAAAAGTAATACACAACATCTGGATCCAGGTACACGAAGAACACGAGACAAAGAATATGTGAGGGAGACAAATGTCCAATCCAAATGATACAGTTTGCCGCGGTCTCTTGCGTGTTTCTGACGGCAACACAGGATCTGGTTGCCAATGCTTAAACGTGGCAAGTAATGCAAACAAGTGACCGACCGATTTTCAGAATACCCAGGCGTGAGCCACACTGCGTCACAGAGCATGTAAAACCGCAGTTTACACGAATCAAACCCACTGCGACGACACCCTAAACCCTATACAACGCCGAAGCCCTAACCCCAGAAACCACAAACCCTTAAACCCTGAAGCCCCTAAAGCCCNNCGGTGGTCAAAGACCACCTTCCTGGCGAGTCGGAAACAGGGGGCCCAGACTCGATGAGCTCTTTGTAGAGTTAGGAAAAAGGGCTCCCCTCAAGGGGCTCCTGAAAGTAAGGCCTCGAGAGGAGATCCGTCTGTAATTGGGCTCTATCCTGTAGATGGTTAGTGTCAGAACGGGGCTTTTGGGGTATGACGATACAAGCACTGCCAAGGGATGGTAGGACCAAGTTCCCGATCCTTATGTTGCAGGGATTCCACTACTGAAAGCTGAGATCGTGGAGTGTTTGCTGCAAATCACAAGAAGCTTGTAGAAGAGATGCTGGCTCCAGGCTGGTTTTGGAGGGATTGGGGTTGGGCATCAGCCAGCTTGCCAACACTGTCTCGACGAAAACGCACTTAAATCTTCTTAGGGTAGCAGTGTGCGGCTCTGTCTTTTGCTGTGCATCTCTACGGTGCCTGGCGAGCTTTCGTAGGGGAGGCATGTTCTCGTCCAGCTGGTTGCGCCTTGCAAGGTTTCAAGAAGAAGCCCTTCGATGGGAAACCCCACAAGCTTCAACCCCTAGACCCAAACCCGAGATCGTACACCACAAAGCTTACCACAAGACAGAGAAGGCAGAGTACTGCTGGACTTGCCGGGCCTCACGACCATTTGACTCTTCTTTTGGAGGAACTCCTTGTCGCCCTGAGTCGGTGGGGAAGGAAAAAGGATTGGTGAATTTAGGCTAGGCCTCAGGGGTATATGTCTGGCCCTGGTTGGCTTCAAGTGTGCTTGAATGGGTGTTTTTTTGAGAGAGGTTGCGGTTAAGCCTGGGGCAGTGGGAACCCTACCATCCGTGGGGGGCGGCGGGGAAGGGGGGGGGGGGGGAGCAACCCCCAACTGTCACTTCTTGCAACTGCGATGCATCTCGGAATCTCTCATCATCCTCCTGAGCTCATGGCAGAGCTTCTCACACGGCTGTAGGGCTTATTATTGACTTTCAAGTGTCCATGGTTTAAAGCTGGATACGCCCCTGCCTTTTCTCCACTCCCCAGGTCTTGGCCCGTAAGTGTCCAGGGTCGAGGGACAAAGCTGACAGGGCAGAGGCTCTCAAAACGTCAACTCTCAACCCTAAGCCACAGACGTACCCGGTCCCTAAACATACCAGCATGGCTTCGGGTGAAGGGTATGAGCATTACCGGCACCTCACATTTGAGACTTCACGGTCTCAGCGAGGTTTTCCGCTTTGGGGTTGCGGGGATTCGGGGCTTCTCTGCTTGGGCCCTTGTAGAGGAGGGCCGCCTCCAAGGCGGAAAAGGGCCTCCTTTCAGCCCTGAAAGGCGACCCCAAGTGCAAACGTGCTTCGATGGTCTCAGGAGCGGCTTTCTCCTCTTCCTGGCGGTTTAGGGTTTAAGGAGTTTAGGGNNAGGGTTCAGAGTTTAGGGTTTAGGCTAAGCGTTTCAGCTGCAACATGTTCGACGTCTGATTCGGATGCTCCACTCGGAAGCCCGGCCTGAGGCTCCTCTCCCCAGGCTGTCTTCACGTCCTGCGAGACAGACGGGAGAGAGGCCCTCACTGAGTGGGCCCCGAAGCTTCCACAAAGCTTCTAAGCCATTCCTAGCTTCTAATCATAGGGGCCTTGATCATTAGAATACGGTTTGGGTTATAGTATAATCTCACTTTTAGATAAGGAACGACCAAAACCCTAGTCTAACCTTTAAGGCCCCTACATTAAACCGCCATTAGGAAGCCCGAAGTCTCCTTGGTCTCCGAGTTGGATCTCTGCTTCTTGATGCCTTCGGACCTCTCAAATCGGAGCCGCGCTGCATCTTCGTCGTCATCACTCAAGGGGTCTTCTTCAAAGTCGCCTCAGTCCGATGCCAGCACGAAAGCAAAGCAAGGTTGTCTTCGTCTCTCTTCCTGTGAGCTGCCTCACTGGAAAATGCAACCAGGTCTCTGAAGGGATCTGTAGTGAAGCGGTCGATGCTTCCCACCCTCTGCCACATGCAACTCCACAACAAAGGGCAAGTCAGCAAAGCTCTGCAGCCTCGGGTCGTATTACCTGGCCCTCTGCAGGTGAGCGGCGAGCCCAACTTTGTCAGTTTCGGGCTAGGCATGTCCGGCATGGCTCCCGGCAGTGGGTTGAAGGACCCATCCTGATAGCGTCGAAGGGGGCTTTTTTTTTTTGAGCACCGTTTTCCTCTTCGCGGGAGGCTTTAGGGCTGCAGGCTTCAGTTGGGGTTGGCTTGCTTCAAAGGTCAGGGCTTCCAGGCTGGAAGGCTCAGAAGGAGCCGCTAAGCCCTGAAGCTGGAGACCCAGAGCCCTGGACCCCCCGGGATGTCCTGGAGTCCGTTGCTCTGCAGGCCGACCAGAAGGTTCTTTTGCATGACTTGAAGCTGCTGCCTCCGTTGAGGGGGGGGGGGGCGCGTTGGGGGCTTCGAGTAACCCCGAAGCCGACCTGCCTAAACTGCTAGAGCCTGAGCCCCTTCAACTCCAGCCGTCGAAACCCTATGTTACTCCTGAACACACAAAAAACACCGACTAAATCCCCATCAGCCGTACGTTTCTCGTGATCCGATGAGTCTGCTATTAACATCATCTGAGCAACTGCAGGGCCGATGCGGTAGCTGTAGCTGCCTGCGCTTCCGGGGCTAGGGTTTAGGTCTGCTACGAATTACCAGGGCTATGTCGAGCCTTGTGAGGGAATGGGACCCTCATGGTGTTGCTGTTTTTCTTTTTGTTTTTCTTTTTTGGGGGGAGGGGGTTTGGGGTCGAAGGTTTCGCATCTAGCAATGTAGGGGTTTAGGAGGCATCGCGCAGGTTCTGTTCTCACATCACTTTGCCAGCCTGTCGTGTGCTGGCGCGGATCATCTTCTCCAGTCTCAGGTGCTTTCTGTCCTCGGTTGAAAGCAGCAAGAAGTATGCGAGACTTAGACTTAGACGATCTTGATACTCCTGTGAATATGGCATAGTATATGGTTGTCAAAATCATAACACACCATATCAGCCATGCATGCCCGGGTTCCAAGTGCTCTCGGAGAAGCTCTATCTGACGGTCATTCACGGCCTAAGGGACACAGAAGGCTGTTGCTGCCCCGGCCAGCCTCTCCTTTTCTTACGGCACTGCCTGGCGATGCCTTGGAGCGCTCATCTTTGCCTCAGCTCGAGCAGAACTTGGCCTCATGGAAAGCTACTTATTGAAAGCTGTCTTCTTGCATTCGGAGCCTCGGAGCACCGCGTCCCAAATTCTACGAAGAGGCTAGGCTATGTCATGACTTGAGCCAATTTGCGGGAAGCTATCCTCTCATAATAGCACAGCAGTGTCGAAGAGTCGCAAACACCGCGAACAGGCGTCCGGATACTTGGATTCAGGCGTCTATGGCATGAGTCTATGGCGACCGTGACACCTGCACAATGCAGCACTTCAAGAACAGCTGTGATGCTCTCATTCTGTGCAGCGGCCCTCAACTGTCGGAGCGATGACGCTCTGCACTCTGTGGCACAGGCAGCAGGCCGTCTGGCAGGATTTATAAACCCGTTGTGCCCAATTCAGGCTGTCCGACCACGATCGAGTCAGTGCCTACACTGGGCCTACACACCAGAGCACAGAGGCATAGCACGCCGGGGGCAACCGAAGGTCAGGACCCATCAACACGGCGTTCCCCCCACGTGGTGGGAAGGAAATGACCCTAAGCAAGAACCCTGGCCATCCACAAACGGCCATGAAGTGCTGCCCGAGCCTTTGTGACAAAACACCGCTTGTCCGTGGCCAGACAACATCCTACAAGCCTACAAGTACCTTTTGTTGAGCATCTGCTGGATGCGACTTGGTCTAGAGCCAACAGCTGCAAACATACTGGGCACGCTGCCAATTGCAAGAGCCGCCTGCATCTATGATGCGACTTTCTTGTGATCCTTTTCTTCTGGCTCTCTTCGGCCAGGACTTTCGGAAAAGAAGTCGAAAGCAATCCGTCCAAGTGAATCCAGCGTGCAGGTGAACAGGTCCCTAACCGTACGAAGCCTCCTCCAGCTACTCCGAGAGAAGGCTTCCTGTAGACGTGTTGGGAACATCGAAACTAGGCCCTCCATCTACCCTCTATTATGAGACCCTAAATACCTACTATTTGGGGCCATATACCCCTATTTAAGGGCACAAGGAGGTCCTGGAATTGAGCTTTGGAACAGAAGATGGAGACGTCTGCCCTTTGAAGGCCTCGGAACATGGGGCCTCGGCCTGGGGCCAAAAACCGGGGGGGCACATGGTCGTAGGCATGGCCCAAATTTCTACTGACGGTAGGCGTCCAAGTCTTCAGGAGTGATCTGTCGCGAGTCCAGATCCGTTTCGAGCTCTGTCTCGCCAAGGGCCGTGCTCTCAGCGTCCGAGGGATGCAAGCTGAAGCGGAGGCGTTCTTCCGCATCCTGGATGTCCTTTTGCGCAGTGCTGAAACCTGACAGCATTGTCGCCACCATGAAGCCGGAAACCATGACCCAGGCATTCTCCACTTCTTTGGTGAAAGATTCCCCAAGTCCCTCCGCAATGCAATCCACGAGAATTTTGCCAGCCAGGTGGAAGTAGCCCTCCTTCAGGCCGTAGCCAGCGTGACGCATGCCCAACTGCTGCAGCATGGGGACAAGCCGGCAAGTGTCTTGAAAACCCGCCACCGCACTTCCCACGACTGAGATGAACTTGGCCCAGAGGTTCCTCAGCCAAGCTTCCCTTGAATGGATGCTGTTTCACTGTAACTCACTGACTGGCCTTGCTTGCACTCTCAACTACACTACCATCTCAGGTGCCACAGAGAACTGAGGGCCCCATGATCGACTTCTGCCGTGGCTCTTTAAAGCTGGGGAGTGCGTCGGATCATCCGGGTCCTCCTCTTCGCTCGCGTCCCAGTCCATGTAGCGGAAGCGCATGCTCAGAGGAAACAGCGCCTTTGCCTCGGGTTCCAAGGCAAAGAACTTCTGGTAGAAGAGGCCGCCCACAGTGCTCAAGCCAATCTCGTCCTTCAGCTTCATCCAGCTCAACTGCACGCTAGTGTAAGCCTTGCCGTGCGTCTCGCCGCCTGCGTCGCTGTTGTGGAGAAACACCAGTTCACACTCCAACATACACAACCTTCCCGAGCGGAGTTAAACAGAAAAGGGTCTCTGCTTTGAATTTTGTTCGTCACTGAGGTCGTGTCGCGAAGGTTTCTATGGAAACAAACTAACCCTACGTTTTGCTTGATTTTGGCCCCTACTAGGATCCTGTTCTCCTTTTCGACATCTACATGCTTGTAGCTTTGTACCCGCATACCCTTGGCATTCGCCGGCAGCACACGTGTGAACAGTGGCACGGAGGGTGCCATAGGTGCGCCTTCAAATCTCTGAACCTACAAGCCCAAAACCCCAGAGGCTATAACCCGAAACCCCAACCCGAAACCCTAAGCCGCCTCCAAAACGGGGTACGGCGATCTGACTTGACTGGCTGGCGGGTTCCCGCTGCCCGAACCGCTGTAGCGCATGCTCGCGCAGGTGCCTTCCAAGAACCGAACGAGCAGGGCCCGGGCTGAATATGTATGTGTGTGTGTATATATATATGTGCGTGTGTGTGTGTGTGTGTGTGTGCTTTTCTATACAAATTCTACTATTATGCAAGATGGAACAAGTAATGCCGAATATATAACGTATGAAATATAGCATATGAAAACCAAAATGTTGTTATAAAACATGATAAGTAAAGTATCATATATATATACACATATTATGTTACATATTGTATAGTAAAAACTCTGCATATATAGTTGACACATACTCTCTGATACACAATAGTTAGCATCTATTTCATGCTACATAACATGCAATATATGGCATATAAGATAGAGTATTATATATTACATAATAACCTATATTATTTCTACATTATGTATAACACATTATATATGATATGAAAGATAAATGATATTTATACAAAATATCTCACACAAAATGCAACACATATAGTATACAATATACAACACCTATACATAATATATATCACATACAGTATATAATAAAAAGTATATAATATAATAAACAGATTACATTAGATAGTATATAGTACGTAGAACATAGCATTTAGTGTGTGTTATGTAGCCTATACTGCATAATGCATACTACACATCATATAAATATATATATATATATGTATAGCTACATGCACATATGTATAATATGCTAATATAGTATGATGTAGCCTGGTATGATTTTAGCATGTGACACAGAATATAGTAAACATGATATAGTATATCATATAGTATAACAAAGTATAATGCAGTTTTATAATATGATAAGACATCAGAAGACATAAAATAATAACATATTCTATAGTAGACTCTAAAATGGCATAATACAATACAGAATAATCTGATACCTTAAAACACAGCATAACATAATGTAATATAAAACAAAAAACTGATATAATATGATTGAACGCAGTACAATATACTATAGTACACCGTAGTTTGATTTGACTCAGTGTTATATAATATAACAAAAATGCAATGCAATGTAAGATAATATATACGTATATACACGTGCATTAATATAGGATGATATAATATCATACAATATATCATATAACATAATATGTAAAATAATGAATAATATAGTATAATATGCAAGTTGGAATCTATAACATAGAGAACAATAATGTGTAACCAAATAAATACATACGTAAAGCACTAAGTATATGCATATACATAATTTACATATCTATACATGTATATGACCCGGGGCGCAGATGAGAAGTTGAAAAAGCTAGGCTCCCGCCGCTTCTAGGGAAGACAGAGGAGCCTTTCGGCGACAACAAACTTGCAAGGGGTTCAACATTTTGGGTAGACGCCTACAGACACGCACATGCTGTCCTCCACCGCCTCCCCCCCCACCAGCGAAGCTCCTTCAGCAGCCCCAACCCTACACCCTTAACACTTGTGTAGGGCGGTGCGCAGATCCTCATCGTGAGTCCGAAACCGATTGGCCTCTTGAGCTTGAGGATATGGCCGGTCGCGATGCCCATCTCCCGCATGTGCTCATCCTCCATGCACAGCAGGGTTTCCATGTCGTCGAAGCCGTGATGGTTCAAGACCTCACGGGGCCCCGCAGAATTGAGCGTTTTTGTGTTTGAAGGGGCGGCTCAGAAGTGTAACTTGCATCTAAAGAATCCAATAAAAAAAAGCCTTGTAATGGCGCATGAACTCCCCACCCTGGCATACTGGATGAGGCCAGCTTGGCGCAGGAAGGCAGTCACAGGGTTGCGGTCGGATGCAAACTTGGACGGTGGACCTCCAGGCGCCTCGGAGAGCAGCAGGTAGACATTCCAACAACCATTGTATATCGTATGTTATGTTTTCTGTTATATATCATTTATATA